TATGATGCAAATCGATGTCGTATCATAAACGAAAACGCCGCGGGGATTCGATATCCGCAAATTACATATTTTCACTATAACTCGAAGACATAAAATAATGTGTTCCGCTCACTATGTAATAATAATGGACGCCCCAGCTCGATCGGATCGGGGGGGGTGAGTACTGCGTCTCCCTCCCCCATCTCCGAACCGAAAAAAATTATCAGAAATAAATCAACGTTAGAACCCGCTTAGATCCTCACCTAAGATAAATACCTCCACTGTATATTTTTGTCACCCTTACAATTCCCGGTAACAACCCTATAAAGTGATCGGCTGACAGCTAACACAACACGTGCTGGGCTAAAATTTGTTGATCGTCTGTCCCCTAAATAGAAACCCTCGTGCCGCGTCGGCCTAAAAATCTTGCAGATAATGTAAGAATCTGCCGATTCTATACAGATAACTGCCTCCAATGGAACTTCAAATCACACCATTCGGTGCACTATATTAAAATTAAAATTATAAATATTAATTTTATTTTAAATAAAGCCAGAACTATTTATTTATAGTTAAATATATTCTTCAGAAATCCCATAATAATTTTTCTGTTTGAAAAAATATAAATCAACCAAAAGAAATCGTAAGAAAAGTATTTTTTGTTCATATATACACAATTAACAGTTACATAATGTTATTTGCGATTATAAAAACAAACTTGCACAACATGCAATTGATGATACGATTGATAACTAAATATTTTTCAAAATTTCCGAAGAGAAAACTGTATACTGTAAATATGTTTAAAAATGGAAAAACTTCGCTTTCGATTTAAGCGTTATTTCCAATATACACATTCGAAATTATTGAAATTGCCTAATTACTGATACAATTTTTTTTTATAACCGCAGCACTAACAGTACCTGAAACTTGCTTGCAATCCATCCCAAACTAATTTATTAAATTAAATTAAAGAAATAGAGGTAGCCACAATTTCGTGAGTGCTGTACTACTGTACTATTTTTTTTTTCACTTTTAGGTGAGAAAAAATAATTGTTGCATTTTTTAGAGCGACTGAAGATGACTTTTTCAACTAATTAGCGAGTTATTACTGGTTGCGGTGGTAATTGAGTATTTGGACACGTAAGGGTGCCTTTTTAATTGGTCCCTTATTCCCATTCCGCCACTCTATTGATACTATGAGCCAAACAAGTAACGTAAATTAAGTTAGAATAAAATAGTTTTAAAATTTGGACTGCCTTAACCATATAGGATGCCGCATCCCATAAAAGGAGTACGAACTTTTCTGTTGGAACACTCTTCGGCAAAAAAAGCTGATTTATGTTTTTTGAACAACAAATCTGGTTGCCCTTAAATTGTTGTTTTTTACCATAATCAATAGATTCATTGGTTTCCCCTAAAACTAAACTCGATCTCACATGAATCGGTTGTTTCGTCAACCACACGATAAAAATAATTTTCACCCACTTTTTTTTTAATGTCATTTAGAGTTTGCTCGTAAATGACGTCAACATTACCTTTACGTACAGTCGACTCGTCCGGGATGTTAAATTTACAATATTATGTCAAACATGATCGTAAATTGGGGTTGCCCAGTTTTTTATGTGGTATTTTCGGCAATAAAATGCAATAAATTTCCTATTATTGCAATAAACGTATATTTTGCACACAACAGACAAAAAAATGCCTTTTGCATGTTCCCCGCTTCTTGTAGCGGTCCAGAATTACACCAAATTTGTCAGTGCTGTGGATCTCTCAAAAATTAAAAGAAATTAGTTAAGAATAACTAAAAAAATTAGTGTGTAGATTGCAAAACTGGGCGATTTCGGCGTTTACGTTCTTAAGCTTTGTTAAATTATATGTTTTTCCTACACCATAATTTTTGTGAAAACCGTGCAATTTTACGACGAAATGGTAATTGTTTGTTTTTGATCGTGAAGCGTAAAGCAATATCGCGACATTTTTTCGTATTAAGCATTTAACGTGGACGAAGATGAAAATCGAAAACGGAAACTAAACGGAATACCAAGCGACGAACGTATTTTATATTCCGTCGAGATTCCCATACAAATTTACCTTCGTTTCTTGGAATAGTGTGGCATGGGGCTCGTTTCTTGGCCCATCGCAACAGGTGCCACTTGCACGTGGTGGGTTGGCGGCGGTGGAGGCGGATGGGGTTGCAAATAAGTCGGCGGGGGGGCGTAGTGAGGAGGCGGTCCGCCTCCGGCGTACGCGTACATATCCAGTCTCTATTTTTTATATTTTTATTTTTTTAACAAACACGAACTTATTGAATCATCGTCGTCACGAGCGATCCACCGCACTTTCAAAAATGTGTTTCTGACACTTTTCCCGAAATTCCCCCCACATTTACGCGGAACATCAAACCGCGAACAATGTAAAAAAAAAGAAACTAATGATGGTAATAATGAAAAAATAAAACTGAACGGACGCCGGCGTCGACGTATTTAACGGTGAGCGAATAACGGGAGACACAGAATATGAATCCAAGCACGAATAAGACCGCAATGCCGGGCCCACAGCTCCTAGACCCGTACTCTGGGATCGCTGCCGTCGATGCCTGGTGGTGGGGCTGTTGTTACACCTACCATTATGGTTATTGATGGTGGATGATACTATTTATTCATTTTTTCTACTAAGTACTACACTTTACGATCATTGGTTATTTTCGCTGAACTGATACCGGCATAAGAGATCTCGTGTGCTCGCTATGTTGCGTCTTTACAGAAATTTGTTTAAGGCGCGTACTTGTTACAATATTTTTAATATTCCACAACTAAAATCGATATCGTAATATATTTTTTAAAACATCGCCTATAACTAACTTCCCTTCGGAACATGAAACCGACAGCCACTTCTGTGCAGGTGAAAATTGACATAAATTTTTGGTGTATACCCACAAATTCTCAATTCAATAGCCATTAAAAAAAACAAAAGGACTTCGTGACCCGGGCGTTAACGTTGAATAATTCAAACTGAACCAAACACGTGTGCAGAGAGTAAAAAATAATTTCGAATTGGACTGAGGCGACTTTTACTTCATAAAAATCCATTTAACGCGATTAAATTAGAAAAAAAAAAATATTCAGATTTTCAAATATATTTTTTTGTATTTGATGAAAACTGTGAAAATCTGAACATTTTTTGTTCTAAATAATTTCGCGTCGTTTCCAATTCCGGGGGTCACCAAGAAAAACCACCAATTCGAATAACAATAATCTTTCAACTGTTAACGCTTATATTTATATAACTGGATATACCGTATCTAGCATTAAATTAGTTTTCGGAAAATAAAAACAGGCGTTTATGACATCGTAAATCTAAAATTGCGAACCCAAAAAAATGTCGTCCTAACAGTTTTTAATTCTTAGAAGGAGTGATTGATGACGTATTTGTTAAGAGCGGTTTTATGGCCGCCTTTCCAGGAATATCCTCGCAAAACGGCACCATTTAATGCGTGTATGCCGACGTAAATTTCTATATATAAAAACGACACAAAGTGAAAAAAAAAAGAAAGATTTTCAATTTATTAAACGGAAATGAGGAGATTAAGTCCAAAGACGTCGTTCTCCACGACCAAAATACAAAGCGGCATCCGGTTTCTTTTGTTAAATTAATATTATTATCAACGCTCTTTATAGTGAACATATTCATAGAGTCGGCGGACAATAAAATACATTTATCAGCAAATTAACGTGACCGCCAATAGAAAGCGAAAAGAACACTTTTCGTCTTTTCGCGTTATCCCAAAAACATTTTTTAAAAAAGCGACGAACGTATGTGCAAGGAATCGCTTGAAAAATTGACCCCATTAAAACGCGTCGGTTAAAGTTGTTGTCATTTATAAGGCTTTAACTTATCCCCCAATATTTTAAAATCCCGCAACTACATCGTCAATCTTCATACACGCCACTGAATGTCTAATGCCTTAAAGAAGGTGAGCATCCGGGATAGTAATTTTTATAATTTTCCAAGTCTCTAGGGTTCTGATTTTAACAGTAATTCGCTATAGTATCATTTAAAACAGAAGCCATATAAAAGAAAAAAAAATGCTCAATTGTGGTCGATTGGTCATTTCAAAGAGTTAGCCTGTGCACGCCTCACGTGCCCGTTTCAAGTTTCGCGATAAAAAATAATTTGTTACACATTTTATGGGACGGTAAACATTATACTTATCAACGTTGCCTCAATTACTCACGTTCGCAGATAGGATTTCTTTTAAGGAAATTTGTATTGTCCAGATATCAACAAACAAAACTCCATACGAATTCCTCAAAGTCAATAGATAAAGTTTACATTTATTCTATATTTATACCGACACAAAAAATTAAATTATTATTATTGCCTAAAAATTTTTAAACAAATGATTTATGTCATAATCCTCAACCTCAGAAGAAAATCCTAAAACGATAAAAGATAATGTATTAACTTGCATCAATGACCTGCATTTTATGCGTACGTTTTCGAGTAAAACAATGGTTCATTCGCTGTAGCAATGACTTTGAATGACTGAGCTAGAAATCAACCGTTAGGGTTATAAACACACAACCAACATAAAGAGTATTAATTATGCATATTAATACCTGCAGCCTATCTCGTTTTATTTGTCAGCAATTTGGAACATATCTTGCTAAAGCCGCAATTCAATGTTAATACATTATATCGATGCCACGGTATCCTAACACTCCCACCCAAGTTTGTATGTCTATAGAAATTTAGAGAAAGTATGCAACCCCTTAGTAAATTGCAAATGCGAAAACAACTAGTAAAATAAAAGGTGTATGGAAGAGGGAAAAAACATTAGGAAGCTACTCATTAACTGATAAGAAGCCATATTTTCAGTTTATCCTAATTGAATCTGTGAAACGGGAGCACATTTTCTCATTTGCATAAATATTAATAGCTGATATACAAAACTTTGTGGCTTTTAGAAAATATTTAAGTATATCGGGAGGTGATTGAGATAAATATACACTTACCCTATGCTAACAGCCCTCCGTTTTGGGATGCCCTTTGTGGGATCAGCACCTAGAAAACACGAAACAAATGCTTTAATGAATTAAACTCTGTACAATACAAATAAGACGCAACAGACCATGGTTAGGTAATAAGAATATAACGACGGAATTGCACACAATATTCTTTTTTCTTGCCAACAAAAAAATAAAAAACAAACAAGATAATTACGAGTTCCTAAAAGAGACAGAAAAGCGCGGAAATATGTAAGATCTCTTTTAATATTGACAAAAACATGCTCTTCGTTTCAAGAACTCGCTAAATTTTGCATTGACACAAGGAATTAAAAAGCAAAAACTATCCCCATAGCCTACTACTAACCTGACACAGGATGTGTAACAGCTGACATTTGAATTGAAAACCATGCGGTCTGAAAAGGCTTTCCGATAGCAAAATCACAAAACACCAAAACCGAAACACATTACGGATAGTCTTATTATATAAATGCCATTTAAGCAATCCACAAACTATGTTTACAACAATACGGCAGCCATGTTATGAAAAGCAAGGGGGAGGTGGGTCACAGATGACAGATACGAAAACATGATTATAAATAAAAAGTAATGTCTTTTTGAAATTGATAATTCAACAAATAGCGACATGAGAATATTGAGTTAATACTGTATTTGTACGGGTTTTAGAAAATTTCCCCTAGGTCATTTAAAAGAACGAGAATAATATCCGGCAACCTATACTGATACTTCCATCTGCAGGTCAAAGCTCGCACTACCCAATGCGCCAAACAAGCCACATGCGCCACAAGTAAGAGTTGCGGAACCGCTGTATGAATTTTTTGTTCTTGGCATTTAAAGTGCTATTAAAATAGCCCTGGGAATTGAAAAAGTTACTTAACTTATGACTGACGTTTTAAAACTTTTTAGAACTATTGAACACTAAACACACTCGACTGCGCCATCTCAATTGCAGAGAACGAAGTTTGTCAAAAATCAGCGGTTCTTGTGAATTCCTTATATTATAATCACAGATTACCAAACTATGTAGTCTATGAGATAATTAATAAAACCAGTTAATTAGCAGTATACCTGTAGTTTACGTATTTAAAAAACTCCAAACCTTCTTCTATTTACCATTTGCGAATAAAAGATACAAATTATTTTTGTAATGACTTAAAATAAAGTTCAGCGCTCAACGCAGTGGCGCATCCGCCGGGCAACATAAATTTTCATGTTGCTAACTGTTAAATCTAGAATGTGCACATTAAAGGCAAATAAAAATAAAATTCTTTTCTAAATGTTTCTATAAAGATATTAAAATAAATCGCGGATAATAAAAACCTTTTCAACTTTGTTTATATAGTGCCTAGAAAATTATAAAATGTCAATTAAGTTTCCGCTCTTTTAAACCAGTGTTTATAAAAGTATGAAATGAAATAACCAAATAAATAACAAGTCGTATAATTAAAAACACCCTCAACTATAATAAAGTGGTGTTTAATTATAAAGAAAATAAATTAATAATACTGATAAAGAAACAATGTCAGCTTTGATAAAATGTGTTAATAAAGGTAGAAAACCAAACAAATAAATATCAACTGAGAAAAGAGAAGCCTTAACACTAAGGAAACAGTATTTCTATTCTATGAAAATGATAAAAAAAAGTTTCATAAAAAAATGTAAACACTAATAAAACAAAAAAAAGGATTCTAAAGGTGAAATTTAAGACAATGGAAAATTCTATAATTATTATACCCTATTTTTTTACACAAAACGTTCACCTCTGGATATAATTTAAAATTAAATTGTGTGCGGATATATACATTTAGTTCACGGTCAAAGTCTGTCAATACTGCTAACGACTAAAAAGAAGAAAATACAAGATTTTCATTAGGAAACGTGTCCACCTTACTTGTTCAGTAGTTTTTTTTATATCAAAATGGAAACCGCGTTGCAGTAGCGCAGTTTCCAAGTCGGTAAGAGTTTTTGGATCACAAGACTTTAAGAGGTGATGTAGGAACTTTATATCCTTAACCTGGATCTTAAACCTTGAATTGTTGTCTTGTGCTTGTACACTGAAATGTTGTTACGTAAATGAGAGCTCCATAAATATTTCAAAAGTATTTACCACAAAATAATGTCAACTTCCACCTTTTCACCTTCACAATATTCACATATGATCGCTAAAAGCAATTGTTTACATGACGCGCACACGCGGGTTGCAGTTATTTCAAATATTGCATCAATATGCACTTGTCCCATAACCAAGGCCCCCATTGGCAACTCTTCGTGGGATCCAAGGGGAGTTAACCGATTCTTATCCCACCAGTCCCATGTTCTAAGGTCTGTAAAATGCCTAAAAATGATTAACAGATAATCCTGTCATATAGAACACTGCAATATCAGTAACTTACAGATTAGGACTTTGAAATTTTACTGGGGGTTCATATTCTAAAACTTCTACATGGGTAAACGGAGTCGATTTTAGATATTTACCAGATTGAACTTTGACGTTTTTAACTTTAACTTTTACCGAGTCAACGAGACATATGCCATAAAGAAAATTATTGAAGTCAGAAAAATATAGGTCAATATACAAATTGTCGACGCCTTTAAATGTCAATGTCACCTGGTACCCATTGACTATGAGATAATATTAAAATATTAAACATTTGAAAAATGAAATAGATTGAAGAATAACCTACCGGGGCAACCGAACCACTTAAGGTTATGTCTTTTTGTACTATAGCGACCTACATATTTGTTTTCTTTAAGAATTTTTCGAGAGATTGTGCCTATAAATGAACACACGCTATTATTCTGTGTTGCAACAAATTCTTGTACCTCGATTAATGTTTTTAAAATGGGGGTAGCCAGATATTGTGGTTCCTCGCAATATTCTTGAAAGATAGTACCATCGGGTACAGAGTAGCTATGCCTACCAGTCCTCATACCATAAAGCTCTGGCATTGAATACGTTTTTATTTTCCGTCTACAAAGATTATTTTTAAGAAAACCATATTTGATAATATGTTTAAAAACGTACAGCGGTGTATCGTGATAAATCTTATACAAAAAATGTTCAGATAGAAATGGGGCTACCTTTAGATAGTTGCCTTCTAAAATCAAAAATGCCCAGTGCTGTCTGGTTTCACTAATGGAAGAATTCAAAACTACTATTTCCAGAAAGACCTGTAAATGGTCTCCAGTTTTTATAACAGGCTACAATAAAACCATATTTTAGTATTAAATTAGCATGTGCTTGAAAGGGATACCAAGCTTTTTTTACATATTTGTATTACAGTCCTATGAGTTTTTGCACCACTTATTGGACTCTCAGGCGATAGGTACAAATTGTCGACGCAATCGCCATCAAGTTTTGCCAGGGGCGTTACATTGTTGAAATGCAGTAACAGGTATTGCATATTTCGTGGCTCTTCAGTCATAAAAATCTCTGAGAAAACAGTCCACTTCTTGATATGTACTAATTGATTGTAGAATTTTGGCAAAAACATGTCATCATGAAAAGCAACTGGTATATTGACTTGCCCATCTTTCAACACCACCATTCCATGTTCTTCGCTCACGGATAATACACTAATCGTGTAACACCAAACGTGTCTAGATTAATACAACTGGTAAAAAGGAATACTCACCCCATCAGTACTTCTACCACAGAGCCATTCACCAAACTATGATATGGGCAAAATAAATATTGATCCATAAAACCTTTATATAAGTTTGAACTTTCATTAATGTAATTTAAATCAACTGGTGTTTTAAGAACATTAGGAACTAACATCTGTAAAAGGGAGAGGAACAATACGACAGGGTAGTCCACTACCATGTATCTCCACAAAAGTTTGTTTTTGAAAAATTTCAAACACAAAAGTTATTTGTATGGAAGCATTACATGCAATGAAAATAGTTACCATTATACAGTCTCTCACAGCTCCTAACTTCCCTATTACAACTGGATCAGATTTAGAATGTAATGGGATGCACTATCATACAGTACAATACAATACCTTCTGTATCTTAAATTTTTCAATAAAACAAACTCTTATAGAGATATAAAAGAATTCGGCAGTAATGAACCCCTCCTATATAATAATACATATTTACCTGAGTAGCAGACGCTTCGCTAGCTGGTAATTCAATACTAGACTTCAAAACACTTATCAGCCCTTTGGCGGCGATGAGGTCATCAATTTGGAACCTAGATTTCATTATGCGGTAAACCTTATCAAGCACAATAAAATCTTTGGCACCAAGACTCTTGGATCTGAGAGCCTTCAAATAAATATCATTCTCATCTACAATAACCGAAAAAGCAGCAGATGGTTCTATGGAAGTTTCTGAACACGTTATAATAGTATCATCGCGAAAAATAAGTCCTTCAGTATTGTCAATTATAAGGGTCGATCCTTTAGCCGGTAATTTGACAGGTTGGCTGCCAATTATTTGAGGATACACTCTGTACCGTTGCTCAATTTCATAAAATAAAATATTTTTGTTCACCAACGTCACACAACCCTAAAAATGGCAGTTTTAACAAAAATAAAAACTTGAAACACACAACAAGTAAACCTTAACAGATTGCAAGCTAGGTAATCCACATAAATTCATGTTGACAGTGTTACTGAAAGCAAATGTTCTAAAACAGATCACCACAAAATACCAAAAGAGAAAACTGATTATGGTTTGGTTTGAATTGGGACAAATGGGACTATTGTACATAAACTCCCTGGACCTTCACCTTCCTTCTCTTCCCTATTGCTCAGGAGGCATGACCTACAAACATTTTGTTTTTGTTAAATATTGCAAAAAGGAGATTAATGATAATGAAAAACTAAAATCCTTAAAAATTCCTGTTACATGTTTAAATCTCAACTTATACAATTTGGCTGATGTAGAACAAAATCATGCAATACTTATACCAAACTGGACACCTTAGCATAAAATTCCAATGAATTAGTTCTAGCCCACATTGGAATCATTCTGTTTCTGTACTTATCCAATAAAAAAAAAAACAAAAATTCAATAAAATTACGGACAGCCTGTACATATAGAACCCGTTAAATGTTTGACTTGAGTCCATTGTTGCTAAGTTATGTGCTGCTTCGATGTATATATTTGGACCACGGTCAGGCATTTAACACCTTCTTAATGTTTGCCCAAATCCCATATTGGAGGAATTTAAACAAATTTGCTTCACTTCGCTTTAAGCTTAGTCAACATATGATTTAAGTACCTAACCCTAAAAATATCCCAAAAATTAATATGGTACCTGCAATAAATCGACCCAAAAATATCCATAACACAGAGGAATATAATTATTTATCTAAATAACTAGCGGCTACCGCCAAAAACATCTTAGGTTAGGTGCGATTGATGTGGTGGGCTAGTGGTGCCATCTTTAAAGCTGTGTTACATTAACCTCGCTGAGCTAAGAGTTTCCTATATGAATGACCGGACCAGAACGGTTTGATCATGGTTGCAGTTCTTTACGCAAGCTTAGCGCGATTTTTAAAAACAAAATGCAGAGTTTGATTTACTAATTTATCTCTTAAAAACTGCGAAAATGTGGTGACAGAAATCTTTGTTCCAATAACTTTTCTCCTCGAATTTTGACCGACCTCCCAGGGTATACGATACAATACATGGAGAAATAAAAAAAATTTAAATGGGAAACTGTCGGTGCCGCATGGCACCTATTTGTAAAATTGTTATTTAAAACTTGACAACCTTCTTTGACAAAGTTCTCCCCTATAACTGCGAAAGGCAAAGTTAAATATAAAGAACAAGTCGTCGATCATTTTCCTTCAAATAAATTCCCCCTATCTACTGGTGGTAATAATATCAGCGCTAACGGACTAACCAAAACTAACGTACGTTAATATCAAAGTCGTCGTAGAGACTTCAAAATTTGATGCGTTACCTTGAAACCCAGAGCAAAAACAGCGTAGTATTACTTGAGTGTTTTATTTAAAATGAGCGCTATTAAAGCACTATTTCAGGAATGTATTTTAACAGACAAACGCTCCGCACGCGTACATGCCTTAACCCAGTCCAACTTATCGAAACCAATCGAAATACATCCATCCATCGATCGTACCATCGCACTCTTTCGTTTATTTCAGTCGGTTATAGTGATCGCGGTTTGATGTTCTAGCTTTGAGAATTGCAGTTTTTGCTTTTCGTGTGAAACCTCTACCGTTACAAAGGTAAGTCATATTGGTTGTATTTTAATTCTATGGTTCAAATTATAAAAGTTTAGATTTCTAAAGTGTGCTTTATTCTAAAAATCCGCGGCTATTTAAATAAAATATTTTGATTTCCAGAATAAATGAGAGTTTGAGATAAGGGCAAATTTGTATGCGATATATGATTTCTGGAAATAATTTTCTTCGTATAAATAGTCGATTATAAATAGCATAAACACGTGTATTTAAATTTTCGTCGAATCAATGGGTTTCTGCAGTGAAGGTTTATTTACTCTTTAGGAATTCCCCAGTTTTAATAGTGTTCAATAGGAGGATAATATAATTAAATGACGATTTCTAAATTATAATTTTGGCTTAATGTATTCCCCAAGCATTGAAATAGATTTCGTCGTTTGGTAAGATTGCGTCATATATATATATATATATATATATATATATATATATATATATATATATATATATATATATATATATATATATATATATATATATATATATATATATATATATATATATATATGCGTAACTTTTTTATTGTTTTTCATGACCTTACATACACTTTCATTTCCAATTGGAAAATACAACGAAATTCAATTCAGCATTATTCCGTGTGGCAACGAGTTTTAAACCAATCGGTGAGCTTTGATCGACCTCTATATCCATTAGAAGGACACATTAACAAATGAATTAGGGCCATAAATAAAAAAAAAAGATATAAAATGTTTTGGTAAAAGGCAATTAAGTAATCACATTCGTTGAATGTGGAAACGGTATGCTGCAATTGTATTTTTAATTGTTCCCAATGCAGTGAAAGCCTAACAACCTTGACAGATATACCTAGTCTTACATCTATATAATTATCTTCTTCGCTGTTAAGTCCCTGACATATCTGTAATACTAGCGCGCAAATTTTCGTGAATTAAATGCGCGTATAGTAGAATATGAAAGTTACTATAAAAAAAAAGACCACAAAAGTTCATGAACCAGGATTTTCTAATGATTAGGAATTTAAAATGTCATTCTGGGTGAAGTGTGTCAGTCGGTTGAGGCTTAATTTTTGGAAAATTTTAAGTACTAATAATGGAGTAACTTTTCCTGGAATCAATATTTTGATGAATTTACTCCGTCCGTTTGTAAAAGATAACTAACGCGTTTAGTTCACTTAATCGTTGTAATTAATTGTTGATAACTATTAATGTGTAGAAAAAAAAGATTTCTCTTAAAAATCCTAGATTAATGGCGACAATTATGATAGGGTAAATTAATTATTAAGACTTATATGAGCTCGTTAATGTTGTCAGCCAAATTTCTGGAGCTGGACTTCAATCATAAGTAACTATCTAATATATTTCAAGAAATAAAGAGGAGAATATGGCTTTTTTTTTCTTCCAGGTTCACTTAAGTGTAAGTATGGCGAATTTGTTTCGAGCACATGGTGAATTCTGTGCCACGCATCCCTGGGAAGTAATAGTAGCTACTGTTACATTGACGGTGTGCATGTTAACCCTCGATCAACAAAACCCCGTTCCCCTTTCAAAGCCTTCTGGTTTCAAATTATGTACGGGATGCATACATGAGGTGAGTCAAGTAACCCTAGCTTAACAGAGGCATATTGTACATATTTTGTTCTCGAGTTGTGCATATTATTTTTGATGATGGAATGAGCCAAATTTGATAGCAATGTTTGGCAGCAATTATGTCATAAGAATCGCTTTCTATGGTTTTAGGCAGAATATAACGCCGTCGATTTGATAGCAATGACTTTAGTGCGTTGCGTTGCGGTCTTGTATTGCTACTATCAGTTTCGAAAATTACATAAACTTGGATCGAAATATGTACTCGGTAAGATGATTGGAATTGTTTAATTTTTATTTAGCTACACGATCCATCAAACTTTTTAAATACGTAACAACAACAAGAGTAATATTATATAGATGCAAGCCCTTACTGATATGGATTACAACTTTCTCCGCAGTCAGAGATCGTACGGGAATTCATACGCATATTACATATATCGAGACAATGACCTTGATTGACTTTCACTTGCTTTCCTATGAGTTAATTAAAAACCACAATACAGGCGATTTTTTTCAGGTATTGCTGGTTTGTTTACTGTATTCTCGAGCTTTATATTCACATCGACCTCTCTCAATTTACTAAGGATACACGTAAGCGATCTTAAGTAAGCAATTTTACGCGACGAAATGAAAATGTTGATTGGTACCAATTTTAGGGACGCGCTTTTTTTCTTTTTGTTGCTGATAGATCTAAGCAAAGCCGCCACACTGGCTCAAACCGCTTTAAACGCTTCGAACCAAAAAGAAGCTAGGACTAATATAGCCAAGGGCCTTGCGGTCTTGGGACCTGCCATAACTCTCGACACCGTTGTCGAAACACTAGTAATAGGTGTTGGGACACTCTCAGGTAATATCGGGTCTCTCATACCTTTCATTCATTCGTCATTCAAAAATGATTTCGTTGTTGTAGGAGTCCAGAGGTTAGAGATGTTAGCATGGTTTGCTTGTTTGTCAGTAGTGGTTAATTATGTGGTATTTATGACGTTTTATCCGGCTTGCCTTTCGCTGATATTAGAGGTAATTTGGGTTGAAAGGGCGATTCCGGTGAAACTCGCTGGCTTTCGTTATCGTACCAATAAGTAACCAATTGAACAATATAAATTTCTAATAAAAATTTCATATACATATTAAGCAACTTTTTCTAATATGGGAACTACATTCGTTCAAGAAATGTTTGTCTGTGCGTACGGAGGACTTTCACCTCTGGTACTCGCAATTTTTCATCACCCCGTGAGGCAACCAAAAACAAATTTAGACTTTAATTTAAGCCATCAAGTATGGAACAATAAACACATCAACGCGGAAATCGCGGAGAATATTTGTTTATGCGTTAGCACTTGTTTTTTCAATTTAACAGAAATCTTAAATATTATAACTCGGCGGCTCAAACGTTTTCAGTTGTCTCACTCAACGCGCGAGCAAACTAAAGAGTCTCTCATCGTTCTATTCAAAGAAGAAGAAAACGCGAAGGCGAATCCAGTAGTTCAACGCGTAAAACTGATTATGTCTGCTGGATTGATGTTAGTTCACGTCCATAGGTAAGAAGGAAAATTTAAATATCATTCAAACTTAAAATAACGTCTTTAAATATTTCCAAGGTCTTTCCTTTATTTAAGTTATTTTTGTTGGTGGCTTCCAAAGATTGTTTGAAATCCGTACATACATAAAATGATGTCTAAAACACTTTTCAGTCGGTGGCCGTTGGGTGAGGGCGCAGTGAACAAAATCGCGTCTATAGTGGAACGAACACAAAACGGTACAGAACATGCCAGTTTCATTCATGGATATTTATTAAGGTGAATATATTTACAATAATGCGTTTAGGAAAGGGAATCTCGTTTTCTTTAATTATTATGTTAAAGTCGACAATTCTTAAGGTCGGACACTAACACAAAAACTGTTAATAGCGTACTTCTCAACATCGTCCGTTTATGTTCGTCGACGAAGACGAAATACAAATTTAAATTATCCTATTGACGTCAGTATTACGTGGTTTGTGAAATATTTACGCGTCCGACCTGCACAAATCGGCTCACCCTTACCGAGATTAGATTTCAAAAATCCAGCTTAATTACATATACATATATAATTAAATATACATTTCAATTTTCTAATCAAAAAAGACATAAAGATGAAGCTATTACTTTTGCCTTTGGTTCCTTACTACATCTCATAGGTTTGGAATGTTTGAGGTGGATGACGCTCGGCGCTGACCACATCGTAATACTAATCCTTTTGACGGCGCTGATAATAAAGTTCATACTGTTCGAAACCGAAGAAGACGCTCCGGATCATTTGCACGCTCGTTATATGTCTGAGAAGTCGGCAAATGTCAGGAAATCGTCCCAAATGGCGCCGTTGGACTTTATTATATCCGAAGGTAAACGCATTACTTCCGAATGGCGCAAAGGTAAAACATTTCCCAATTCAGAGACAACACTTCAAGACAAAGAGGTGCAAACGATTTCCGCCGTAGAAGTGGCCAGCGATCGCTCCTCCGACTCGGTTTTGATTTCAAAAGTCTGCAGAAGCCTTGAGGATTGTTTAAAGATATATAATGATCTCGATTTAGGAGCCACGGAACTGTCAGATGAGGAAATAATTTTGCTGATTAAAAACAAATACATTGCTTCCTATCAGATTGAAAAGGCGGTGGACGATCCTGTAAGAGGGGTCGGAATCCGAAGGACTATATTAGGAGGGGATCTCATTAAATTGCCGCAAATCTTGGAAGATTTACCATACAAAAATTATGACTATTCAAAAGTAATGGGCGCTTGTTGCGAAAATGTGATCGGTTACATACCGATGCCTGTCGGATATGCGGGACCGCTTATTCTAGATGGGAAAGAACTTTATGTTCCCCTAGCTACAACCGAGGGATGCCTCGTGGCGAGTACCAACAGGGGTTGTAGGGCTCTTAAGGAGTGTGGCGTAACGAGCACCGTGGTCGGGGATGGAATGACCAGAGGTCCGGTAGTGCGATTTCCATCTATACTTCGAGCAAGGTAACCATTTCGGTTTTACAGTAAGTGCATCGCTGTTATATTGATGTGTGTGTCTGTGTCGCAGTAAAGCCCTGAAATGGATGGAACAGGCGGAGAATTTTGAAAAACTTAAAACCACTTTCGATTCCAGTAGTCGATTCGCTAGGCTCACTAGAATAACGACAAGGATAGCGGGAAGATTTTTATTCATAAGATTCGTCGCCAAAACGGGTGACGCGATGGGAATGAACATGCTCTCAAAAGGTACCGAATATTCTCTAAAACGTGTTCAGAAGGAGTTTCCGGATATGGAAATTTTAAGCCTTAGTGGAAACTTTTGCACCGATAAAAAACCAGCCGCGATAAACTGGTAGGTAATCATTTTTACCCATGGGCGCATCGCATTAATTGGTTGTTATCTGTTGCTAGGATTGAAGGTCGAGGTAAATCGGTAGTTTGCGAAGCCGTTGTCCCATCTCGAGTCGTATCCTCAGTATTAAAAACCAACGTTGCTGCCTTGGTCGATGTGAACAATTCCAAAAACATGGTGGGATCGGCGATGGCGGGCAGTATAGGAGGATTTAACGCCCACGCCGCGAACATTGTTACCGCCATTTTCATAGCGACCGGGCAAGATCCTGCCCAAAACGTCGGAAGCAGTAACTGCATGACTCTCATGGAACATTGGGGACCAGCTGGAGACGATTTGTATATCTCTTGTACCATGCCCTCAATAGAAATAGGTTTGTTCTCTTACTTATTATTTCGTATATTGTGTTACCTATTGATTGGATTATAAAGATCATCCGTACTCGTCTATGATGTAAGCTTAACTTACTTATATATTCTTTTTCATTTATAAATTTTGCAATATATTTCTTGGACAGGTACTTTAGGAGGGGGTACCATGTTACCGGCTCAAAGCGCTTGCCTAGAAATGCTCGGAGTGAAAGGTTCCAACTTATCAGAACCTGGCGCCAACGCTTGTCAACTGGCGAAAATTGTATGCGCGACGGTTTTGGCAGGAGAGCTTTCTTTGATGTCGGCGTTAACTGCAGGCCACTTGGTAAAAAGCCATTTGAGGCACAACAGGTCCACTACGGTGTTGCCGCAAATTGACCGCAACCAAAATGTGTTGCTACCACCTTGTCAGGACAACATGTAGAATTAAAATTGTATTAGTTCATTGCAAAACTCAGGTTATTATGAATTGTTAAAAGTTGGTGAGCAAATTTGTGTTGTCAAATTAGGAAATTCCAACATCATGCAGCAATTCTACTGTGATGTATAATTGGTGTAAGATTTAGATATTTTTATAATAGAACTTGTAAATAAAAATCAATTTATTAATTAACGTAAACCTTATTTGGAAAACAATTCAAATTTTTTCAAAGGTTTCCTCATAGGGACAAGTGGTACAGCATCTGGTGTAAGTATCTTCCTGCTCATTGTAGCTCTCGGGTCCAAATTCATGAGAGTGAGATCTTCCAGAGGATTTATCATACAAACTACTTCTCATATTCATCCGTAATTCCTTCAACTGTTTATTATGCTTCTTCATTTTTGCTTGGACCTTCTTTTCTTCCCTTCGTTCCTTTTCTTCTTCGATTTTCTCTTCGGTTCCCCAAATTTCGATAGCCCTTGCTTCCACTTGAATTTCAAGATAGAGTTTCATCTCTCCCCAACGAACATTGTGTGGATTTTTACGTTTGATGCACTTTAATGGAGGCTCTCTTTTATCAAAATCACAGTCTTGCAAGAGATACTTTGTTTTTGCTTCTGTTTTTGTTATAAACTTGTACTTTTCCTGTTCTCTAGTTTTATGAAGCACAATATAATAAGATCAAAACGCAAAAATACTCAGTACCTACTTGCATTCATCGCAGCATCTACAATCAAATTGTTCAAAAAGCCATGATGTAGCAAATGGTTTTGCGCATTCTACACATTCTGGACGATCCGGTTCAATTATTGGCGCTTCTGCTTGTACCAAAGGATACTCCTAAATAAATTAATTAAATATAATATAAATTTTGCCACATTAAGTTATTTACCGATTCTTCAGGTTCATTTTCATGTTCTTCCAACAAAAATCCTCCCCCTGTATCTTTGAATTTCGTATTTCCCACGGTTATTGTTGTTTTATTGACACTGGACACATCTCTAAAACATTTTATAATTCTGTATCTATTCAGATCGGATTCTCGAAAACCTTACCCTTTAAAGTACGGATGGCATACTAGCTTGGTGTTTTTCAGAGCAACTGCTTTTAGTCGATTTTTTTCTATTCGTTTACGCAAATAATGCGGTAGATCTTCGTCTCCAGCAGACATGTTTAAACTTTAAATTCCACAGATAAATTTACATGGCCCCCAGTTATAAATGTCAATGGCATACCATAGATGATGAAGTTTGGTAAGTTACCGATGCAATTTTGCGGGACCTTGAGCGATAGTTTGAGAGAAAATTTGAAAATTGATTTTTTAACAGAAATTGCGAGAAAATATGGAAAAACTCAAAATATTTATAAACGTTGTTCAGGAGGCATATTTTTCATTTCACCCAGGTTTACACCAAAGTCATAGAGACATCTCACATTATTGATTGCTAACGTTCGTTCGTTCGTTCGTTTATCCATCCAGGAGAATGAACTTAAAACACATTTAATGTTGCATACTTAGTGGCGTGAACCATAAATAAAATTGGTTGATTAATGTTCAGCCCGCACAATTCTCCTATCAGGTCTAAACAGCAGTGTAATTGTCAAACTATGAAGAACTTAAAAGATATTTTCAATTTATGAAATAAAAATAACTTCCTTATTTTACTTATTCAAATTTATATTTCTGTTGGAAGTGCTGCTTTCCTGCTACTATCAGATATAAGCGAGGGTTAAAAACCCAAATAAGAATTACAATCAAAATTGTATTATCTAAGGTTGTAATTAACTTTTAGCTTAAATTAATAATTTCCCAAACATAAAAGTAAAATAAAGATTTTTTACGATTATAATACATATGTATGTATGTATATATAGAGGTAATGTTTATAATATAGAACGAGACCTTTCACGTTGATTCACAGTTAGATTGGCAAAATCGGCAACCGAATTTGTTACTATTCCAAGCGATCAGTGAAAGTTATAGACAAAAAGTGAACCGAAGTCCGCTTGTAAGGGTTCCCATATTAAAAAATTCTCAGTGCCGTGAATAATGCATATACTTCGATGATAGTAGAAAAATAAACGTAAATCGTTGTTAATACTTTATCACAAACACAGCGTTATCAGTCAGAAGCGTTTAAGAGTGAGTTGTAGATAAACTTTACGAAACTGAAACGAAGAAATGTATATTTTTCTTTGATTTCGATGAAATCTTTCGAGTATAAGAGAAACCCCTGTATCATAAAAACAAACCGAATGTTTCCGTGATACTTTTGTCAACAAATGTTTTTAATAACATCCAGAGCACGAGTCGTATTGCTTGGAAATGGTAAGTACTTAATGTTCACTAGTTATATATTTTACGGGTTTAAAAACTACAATCGTTTTAATGAAAGAAAACCATAATTAATTTCGCCAATAGATTTCGAGCCGATTTATCCATACACAAAATTTTATGGACGAGATAAATAAAGGTTAAGCAGATTCGGGATTTATCTTTTTTTTGGCCCGGCAACGTGAGTAAATACGCAGCGTTAGTTTTAAAATAATGTTAGACGACGTCAGAAGATTAAGCCGAAGAACACGCAGAGAAAGAAATAGGCGAAGGGACAGATATTTGTCGTTGAATGGTGTTAATTTAAAAACGTCCGAAAGTCCTTGGTCGGTATTACGCACGTCTTCTGTCGAATCGCTGTCCCAAAAAGAACTGAAAAACCCCACCAACGGTCGCAGGGATATGGGAAATAAAACGACGGTAGATATATTTCTAATTATATTTTTTTTAACCTTGCTCGTATTTGGATGAAATTAAGGTGGCACCAGATACCGTTTGTTTGGCTATGTAAATATTTATTCGTGTTTAAATATCATTCACATAATGAAATTTATGGAAGTTCCGTGCGGTGGGTACGGCTACCTGAAAGCATGGCGGCAGAATAAAAAATGATGGAATTTTTTCCAAACTTTAATTTGAATAACTATTTCCCTTAGCGTTGAATAAATAGGATTTTTATTGCCTCTACGACAACCAGGCGGTTAGATTTAGCGTGGGTAACGTTTTGAAATCATCCCTGGGTTGACTTGTCGTTAATGTTAATAAGAAACCCCCGTAAACGGAACAGAGTAGTAAAAAGCTACGGGGAATTGATGAAACCGCCAATATTCGTTCCTACCGTATACCTTTAAGAATATAATCTTGTTACAAAATAATAATATGAGTAACTTTCAATACTAGCCCTCTTTGGACGATCCCCGTCCCCACTATTAGAGTTAATTAAATTAATATTGTATTGTCATGTGAAACCAAAGCGATTCAGTTTACGGTGAACACGGTACTCGTTCGCGATGCAGTAAGAGGCCGGCTTTATAACTATAAAATGAAAAACGAACAAGAAGATGTGAGCAGCAAACGCGTCAAGAAAGTCGTATTGCCGCCGAAATCGCCGAAAAGTGTAAAACTTAAGCGTGCCGCGTCGTTGATTAAAAAACTGAAATTAAAATCGAAAAATCCGTCGGGAAATAATCATCCGGATACTGCGTCGGATATACCGCAGTTTCCGCTGCCCGCTACTTCGTCCGTCGAAGATTCGGATCCTACGGAACGGCAGACGCCCGAAGGGGTTGAAAATTTCGTCCTGACTAAGTCGGCTTCCGAAGCCAATTTAAAAGAAACCTGGAAAAGTTCAGAGAGGCTCGACCAGGACGGTTTAAGGTTGCCGTCTACGCAAAGTGCGATCGCCGTTGAAAACACCGACTTTTTTTCGAATCCTGATAAGAAAGTTTTACCGGAACGTACAAAATCGTTGGATAATTTGAAAACTATGCCCGCATACGGGGAACTCATCCTCGATCCCGCTTCCGCTAATGCTGCTGTTATGGTAACGAATCTTTTATTTAAATCTGTTGTGTATATTTTGCACTACGCGTGCAAATCAATCCGCACCGACACGCACTGGAAATATAGTAATTACAACGAAACTCCACTTATCGTTAAAAAAAAAAGCCATTTATATTACAGCCGAACTATTGACATGAACAATCGCATTTATTTATTTCGTTGCAGACGTTGACCCCACTTAAATAGCCAGGGTAATTTTTGATAAATATTCGGAAAATGTATTTTCATCGCCATTTTTATCGGCGTTTATATCCAATCCAAAAAGTGTTCAATAATACCTGTGTGAAACGAAATATGCCTTGCAAGGTTCCGTAAATCGATATCTGAATTTAATACTTTTTCCCCTGAGGTGTAGGTATTACTAACTTGATCTAGAATATCTTTATAGTCTCTTTAACATTGGAATTAAATCGAAAAAAAAACATACGACTGGGTATCAATTAATTGAAATTGTTTCAGTCAAATGCAAATCAGTCGTCGAGCAAACCAAAGGATCATTTATACAAAATTCTGGTTATCGGCGATCTGGGCACCGGGAAAACGTCCATTATCAAACGTTACGTTCACCGATTTTTCACGCAACACTACAGGGCCACAATCGGTGTTGATTTCGCTTTAAAAGTTCTTCACTGGGATGAAAACACACTTATACGGCTTCAGCTTTGGGATATAGCCGGTAAATTGTCGTGTCCACGTACGTACTTGACCATATACTTAATTATGTCTTAATTAGGTCAAGAAAGATACGGCAATATGACTCGTGTCTACTACAAAGAAGCGGTAGGAGCATTTATAGTATTCGACGTGACGCGAAGGAACACTTTCGAATCTGTCACTAATTGGAAATCCGATTTAGACTCCAAAGTTCAGCTGCCCAACGGAGCTCCAATACCATGCGTCCTTCTGGCTAATAAGGTACTCAATGACATTTTTTTTGTGTCAATTTTGTACTATTGTGGTCAAAGGGTCCAAAAACCTCACGAGTCAAAAAGTTGTACTGTTCTTGGCTTATTGAAAGTAAATAACAAAAATTGCAAAAAATTAGTGGTCATCTCTTTGACAATACTAATAAATTTGAAAAAATATTTAACATGTCACTGTTGGAAAGTTAATATTTCCGAAACTACCTAGCCGGATGTTTTTTGAAACATCCTATATATAAACGCTATCGTGTTCCAGTGTGATCAACAGGAGGAGGGTATCATCACCAACCCGGGTAAAATGGACGATTATTGCGCAGAAAATGGATTTACGGCATGGTTCGAAACATCGGCCAGAGATAACATTAATATTGATGAGGCAGCGAAGTCACTCGTAGAAAAAGTATAAGCATAATGCGAAATTGTCGAAACGATCTTCAAATATTGACTATTACGTTTTAGATTTTGGAATTCGACAATGTTATAAACAACGACGTGAGAAAGGGCGACCAGTTTTCCCTAACCAAGGATTCCACGCAAGCGAACGGGAGAAAATTTTGTTCATGTTGATGAATCGAATAATTTTGGCGGCTTCTTTTTCGTTATAACGAATAAGTACTATTATTTTTAATTTCTATAAGATAATATATAGGTGGTATTATTTGATTTGTTGTTCGTGAATATCTGGAAATTTTTAATGAGCCCAGCAAAAATCCGATATATTATGTATTGTTTATCACTTTGAGAAAAAATAAACATTTTCAATTATTTAAATACGTATTTTAATGGCCGGTGTTTGCTTACTTTTATTTCGCGCCACTCGCCGTTTTCTGTGTTAACTTTATTTAACGAATGCGATAAGATAATAATCTTGGAAAGAAATTTGTCGAATTTAAAAAATAAAACGCGTTTGGTCGCTAGCTACTCCTTCTATAATGGTGTTTAGAGAATAAGTCAAGATGGTAAGTTGAAGGGTGGTTCAAATCATCAACACTCTATTCTTTTACACATTATTAGACACAGTTCGTATTCAGTTGGGAAAATATCAGTTACACGGTGGTGGAGAAAACTAAGACGTTTTGGAACACGATCAACAAACGAAAAACAATTTTAGATGGGGGTAAGTCAAGTTAGAGTTAGAGGGGTTAAAATTCGAATTCAATTATCAATCACCAGCAGTGGCAACAAGTTAATTTGCTAAAGAAAATTACCAAATTGTTGCAGTGTCTGGCGTGGCGACTTCGAATAATCTCATAGCCATAATGGGTTCGAGGTATTAATTCGTACATTGCCTTATAATTTTCAATAAGATTTTGTTTTCGTATTTCAGCGGATGCGGAAAGACAACCCTACTCAGTATTCTCTCTGGACAAAAAATAGGTAGGTAAAACAAACACGTACATGACAGTTTGGTACAGGCAACAAAACTTAGGAAAAACTGGTTTACTTAAACTGAACGACAAGATTATAACTGAAAAAACGATGCGAACCAATTCGGAATATATGCAGCAAAACGATTTATTTCTGGAAACCTTCACGGTCTACGAGCACCTCAAATTCGTAGCGGCCATGTCCCTCAAAGCGACAAAAAACGAGCGAGTGTTAGCTATAAATCGACTTTTACGAACTTTAGGCTTGGAAGGCCAAAAATACATGAGGATAGAGCACCTATCGGGAGGTGAAAAAAGGAAACTATCTCTAGCGGCGAAAGTAAGTTTAACACGAGAATAAGAAGAGGATAAGCATACGAAAATTGCAATTTCAGTTATTGCCAGATCCGTACTTTTTATTTTGCGACGAACCCATATCAGGCCTAGATAGCTTCAACGCAATCTCAATAGTACGACTTTTGGAAACTATAGCTAGCAGCGGAAAAATTGTTTTTATGACTGTTCATCAACCGTCGTCGCAATTATTCGATCTGTTTGACAATATCATTTTGCTTTCCGCCAACGGCGGACTGGTATTTCAGGGTACGAAAGATAACGCCAAATTATTTTTTGAATCGTAAGTTTCGCAAAATTTATACATAAGGCGGATAAATGTTAATGCTCCTTTAGGCAAGGCCTGGTTTGCCCCGGTTCCTTTAATCCCGCTGACTTTTACATTAAGTCTTTGGCCATTAGAGTGCCTGGTGACGAAAGAAGAATTGAGTTATTGAGAGAGGCGTACAGGACTGAATACGCCGTCAAATACGACTTTGCCGGAAAAGGATATAACGGTTTGCTGCTTAAACACAAGTATTTAAAATCAATAAAGAAATTTCTGAATTCATTGAATATCTTTGCAGGCAGCATAAGCAAAATTTTTTCTTGGAATTGGGATGGTTGATATGGCGCACTCTGATCGATATGAAAGGAAATATCGGCATTCATATGAACACATTTCTCCTAATTATGGTGCCGGCCAGTTTTATATTTTAACTATAAAACAATTGTAATGACTAATTTTAGCTAACTGCTTGCATTATAGGAATGTCTTATACATATGTGAGTATTGGCAAAACGGGCAGTATTCAGAGCATTCAGGGTGCGTTGTTGCTGATCGTTTCCGAACTGGTTTTCGATCAAATGTATTACGTCATATATACATTTCCAAAGGAAGTTCAAATTTTTACTCAAGAAAAGAATTTATATTCGCCTTTCCCATATTTCTTGTCGAAATTACTTTCACTCGTAAGTAACGTGTAGACTGGAATATGCGCGTTTTTGAAAACAAGTGTTCTAGGTCCCCTTTTGCCTTTTAAACACGTTGGGATTTTTAGGCATATACTTCATATTTTTACCGTTTTTAAATGGCTTTCAGTTATTCCTGGACATTTTTTTAATATTGGTAATTACGTCTATAGGAGGTAGTGCTTTGGGTTAGTATAGTGCTTACCTACTTAAATATTATCTAGTGTAAATTTCTTTTTTAGGTTTGTGTTTATCGGCGCTGTTTCCATCGATCGATACCATTAATCTAATAAGTGTTCCATTTGAACTTTTATGTCTCACTCTGTCAGGGATGTGGATCCGACTCGACACATTGCCAAAGTTCTTTTCGATAGTTAAATATTTTTCGCCGTTTTATATGAGCTACGAATCAGTGTGTATTGCGTTTTGGGGTAAAATTACAAAAATAGGTAATGCCTAAGCTGTTTCCTTGGATTGGGAAACCAGAATTGTTATTTTTATTTTACCGCTTCAGAAAACTGTACCGCTGCGGAAGAATTGCCTTGTTTCGAAAACGGAGCACAAATTTTGGAAAACTATGACTTCGCATCCAGCAGTGAAGAAATACAAACAAATTTAATATACTTGCTCATATTAATAGCGGTGTATTGTTATATAGGATACATTGGAATTATCAGAAAAAGAGCATTGTACACCGTGTGATATGTGTGATAGCAACGATTGTGTAATTAAATTTCCTTTTAATTTTCACTGAATTTTAATTCCATTTCAACTTCCCAAGTATTGTAGAAGTGCTATGCAAGGGGTGACAGCGAAAGAAATTTCTGATCAAAAAGTATCTACAACTTTATTGATTCTTTAAGAGTTTTTAATTTTATCTGAAAATGGGAGGTGTTCATTGTTTAGGGTCCTGTCTTGCTAACCAAAACTAACCAGCTACAGCAATTTTGTCGGCGTGAAAGAAAATCGCAAGATATCATTTGCTACCTATCACTCTCATACCCACTATTTCACAGATTATTCCAAATAAAATGTTGATAGTTCAGTGGGTTGCCTACCTTCGGAAACTGTGAATTTGTGGTTAGTGTTGGGGAAAAGGCGAAAAAACTGGGTTGGTTTTATTGGAGGAGTTATTACTTTGTTAAAGGAAAAAGGTTCCATTTTTTGGAGGTAGGATTTCACTGCTAAATCGTAAATAACACTCATGTACACTCACACCTATAGGCATTAAACCACCGGTATAGTGTTTTCGGCGGTGACACATTTTAACCAAAAAGTTATCCTTGGGTCTTAAAATTGTGGCAGATAAATATTTATGAAAAATTTTGCGTAGTTATTTAAAGGAAACAAAGCCTTTAACTATATGTCCTAGTTATAATAAACAATTTCTTATGAAGCTTCCTACAGACGAGCGATGGCAGAACAATGTATAGAGGGATCCGGGCATCTTCCATTACACAACAACTACTTTGATATTCCGGATATAACGAGCAGACTTTCAGCACACGATGATCACCCAACGAATCGTGAACGTTTGGTACAGTATCCCGACCTTAGAAGGTATCATAGCCATGAAGGTAATTTCAAATTTGCGCCACAGTAACACATAGGTATATACACCTACAGGTTCAACCTTTGGTTGCAGAAGCTAATGTTAAGGAGTATGTGTGGTCTGGAGTGAGCTTGATAAGTCTTGTAGCTGAAAATATGCTTAGTCACCCGTTCTTAGTATTAAGGAGACAATGTCAAGTAAATATATTTATTCATTCTTCAGAGTTCTCAACAGCATGTAAAAGTTAGGATACTCCTAAAAGGTATCCCTGAAAGTCATGGGGTTTTCGTTATTGGCACTAAAAGTCTGGTATTTCTAATAACTTGAGGCAGAAATACAGAAATTTTATTTATTTTCTTTAATTTCTCACTTTTTTTTGTATAATTTCGTTACTCGCGGTGTCACTTAATTTTGGTGGAAAATCATTTTTTATTTTATCATGGTGAGAAATTTAAGAAAAATATGAAACTCACGTCATCCTTGAGAGAATTTATTTTTAACTACTTTTTACATCAGAACTTAAAATTATGTTGTTAGATGGGGGAAAGCTTATAATAAAAGAATGTTCTTTTCTATTTTACTTATGGGCGAGTGTCTGAACAATGTCACCTGCAAATCAGGGAACATGAATAAAACTCGGGGAATCTTAATTTCTCAAATTGATGGGAACTCTGTTTTTGCCTATAATCCAATTAAGGTAATTGTGTTTAAAGGTGCATAACAATTCTGCGAGGTATCATTTGCTACCTATCACTCTCATACCCACTATTTATCACTTACATCAACATCAAGGACTAACAACTCTTTGGAAAGGATTAGGTTCAGTCCTTTTAGTTCGTGGAATGCAACTAGGAGTTGAAGATATAATTTTGAAGTTGACTTATTGGCCAAAGTAATATGCAAGCAATTCTCAGATGTTCATCTCTAATGTTAATGTTCCTTTTCAGGGAAATAAATGTGCATAGTTCGTTAAAACAATTTTTTAACCATATTCTGTTGAAATGGTAATGTGTGTTAACAATTTCTCATCATAGAGCCTATAAATTTATATTTTAGCCTTACTTTCGTCATAGTAACTCCTTTTTACTCAGCTTCACTAGTGGAAACTGTACAAAGTGAAATAGCAAGTGAAAAACCAGCTATATTAGATGTATTTCGAGAGGGATTTGCCAGATTACTAAATTGGGGAGCTCCAACAAAAGCAAGAATGCTACCAATTTGGGCTCTGATAGTCCCTACGGCAACACTTGGTGTAACTAAATATTTATTCTCTAAAATAGCGAAAGCCACTGCAGTTCGCTTCCTCCAGTTAACTAATAATAACAAACAGAAAGAGTCCCATGGTGGCGATGTGGGGAATGTGAACTTGTTTGCTTATTTATTAGCTAATTTTGCAAGTGATGCGATATTTTATCCATGTGAAACAATTGTTCATAGGCTACATTTACAGGTAAATCTCATATTTTCAGTTAATAGGGTTATTATTAAATTTGTTATATCAAAGGGCACTAGAACTATAGTCGACAATTTGGATAATGGAAGGTCAGTGCTGCCTATCTTGACAAACTATTCTGGACCTGTAGACTGCTATCGAAAATGTTTAGCTCAGGAAGGTAGAGCCGGATTATACAAAGGATTTGGCGCCCTGGTGCTGCAGTACACTGCTCACATTGCCTTAATTAGAGTTTCTCATTTTATTTTGAATGAAATTTTAAAGCTGTTTAAGAAATCTGATCCAAAAATAGAAACCACTGTAGATACTTCGCCTCCCGCCCTTTGCAACATTACCATGTCACCTAGATCCTATTTACTGCCTTAATATGTAATTGTCTTATATATATGTATACTTTATTATATAGAATTTATTATTTAATGTAATAAAATTTACATTCTCTGAAAGTTGTTTTTTACTATAAAAATCCAATTAGAAAAATTGCAGTGTTCAACCATATCAGGGAAGGTTTTCCGATTGACTTTCCAGCCCTAACAAGGTATAACTTCCTTGATAGAATGTTTTAACACTGCAGTCTTATTTATCAGATTTGTCATGGATATCTTAGGCATTACATTTGAAAAGTTCTATACAATACTGTGGTTTATAACCGTTTATTGCAAGTGACTCCATAGCTTGTTCAGTTGGCCTCTTCTGGGTATCTGTAGAAAGGGCAGTTCCCGTAGGGTTTCAATAGCTGCAGTAAGCGTCGGGGAGTCGGTGAGCTCTCGAATCCTGGGTGAGAGAACTGGCAGTGGTCGGCTTGCTCCGGGAATGAGGCAAGCGAGGCTTATGATGGATGGGTCCGCCATCCCTCGGACTAGGGAGCTGCTTGGACTGACCAGAAGGGAGTAATAGAGCACTAACAGGGGCTTACACAGGACATTGCAGGGTTAGGAGGCATCTTTGCTTGCTAAGCATTGAAGACGACCCAGAGTGCAGGTGGTGCATGGAAGGGGAGGAGAGCCCGTATCATCTGCTCGCCGAGTGCCCTGCTTTGACAGGGGCAAGATTTGGAGTCTTCGAAAAGGCCCTGATGGATCCGGATTCAGTGCACGGTATTGGGCTAAAAGAGTTGCTGGCCTTCTATAGGAGGGGCGGCATTCTGGACGCCCTCTAGCCCGGTCTGAGGGCACAACGGGCCTATCTGGCGGCCTAAATGCTTGGACGCCTGCGGGGGCGCCCCCCTTTAATACCAATACCCTAATAATTCTGTCGTGAGCATGTCCCAGTCTTATGATCGTGGTCCACATTTGCTTAGGGCTCAGCTAGGTCTTACTGGTTGTCTGGATCCTTCATTCTATATAAGGATTGCTGTATTTGGATTTACCTTGCATTAATCTCAAATATTTCCAATATTTCCTGTTTATTCTCCATCCGGAATTATTTGTCTATAGGGTTGCTTGAAAGATCTCAGACAGACCTAAGGCTATAGCGACAGGATGACCAGTAGGTGATGGACTAATTTCGTCCACAGGCACTTCCCCAGGATTCCGGTTTTAACTTTCTAATTTTAACTAATATCTAGCTAAGTGGGCACATTAGAGCTGTGTATTAATTTAAACTTTCAGACCTCTGCTGATCCCTTCTCGCGCTTTTATCACTGGGATGTTGCTCCATGCCCCAGGCGGTTTTAAATTTCTTCCCGGTCATGACTAGGTAGTTTGCTCTGAGTCATCTTTCCTTTGACTCGGATAATTTATGCCCATGAGCTCCATCGATGAGGTTTTTGCATCTCAAAAAGCTCACTTATAGGCAATAATTGTTCAACCACGGCACGTATACTCCATGCTGCGACAAGGGTGTCAGCCGATGTAAAGCTCAAATTCCCTGCTAGAGCAATATCTCGTTATCGATCAGTCATGCGTTGAATTTGTCTACTATCACGGAGAAAAAGGGGCCAATTGAAAGGTGAATAGACATGAGCGACCGCGCTTTAATGGGAAATGAAGAAGACTGTTTCCTGTTAATGCCGAGTCTGTAGAACTCTCTTGACTTTGGCTCCCTTGTAAAGAAAGGAAAACAAGTTGTACTTATTAGTCCAGTTTTTGATCTATCAGCGGAAACACCGTTACTTTCCAATTGTATTTAAAGTATAAATATCATGCAGAATGTACTTAAGCAATTTCGTTTATCTTTACTTACGCTTAGGAGTTTAAATGGCTACTCTATATGTCACAGAACCTCCGCAATTTCAGGAACTGATTTGCATTTTGTTTTAAATCTTCCATTAAAAACAACCAACCGCCGACATTCGGTGGCGACATCTGTCATAATCGTATGTAACATCAGAACTGGACGGGTAAACAGGAGTGGGGAATATTTAAGAGTTCTGTGTGGGTATTGCTACTACTTTATATCCAGGCTATAGTTAGTCGCTCGTAGATTACGTACTTGTGTTACGTGCTAGTTTCTATTGTTGAAGTGGGTTGCTATAAATTTATTTGTACGGATTTAACTCGGTTGTCCTATCTCTTTGCAAGTCGTACTAAATCTCGCAATAAAATGAGCAAAACAGTCGATGACAGTGAGGATTTAGATGATATCACTATGACGGCTCAAGAATTACACATTTTATCAGAACTTGATAGGTAGGTTAAAGTTTTGTTTAAATAAATTAGGAAGTGTTTCTCTCTTTGATTACTTTGTTTAATCGTAATTGTAAACGTTGTTTGCATTTTAGCCGACAGTATGGGTATCTGCTATTAAATCAGCCACAAAATGCTAAAAAAAAGGCGCTTGTGCAAAAGGTACAAAATTAACCTAAAAATAAATGTTTCATGGATATACACAAATTGTGATTAATTTCAGGCGGTAAAATATTTACAATTGATGGTAGTGCAAGCTAGAAGACAACAAAAAGTTCAAAATGAAAATGAAGCAAATAACTGTCAAACTAAACAGATTTGTATAGATCCAAAAACATGGGTTAAACTAGGACATTTTCATCTTCTTCTGGAAGAACATAGAAAAGGTAACATTAAGTTTTAGAAAAAATATATTGCGTTTGCAATATTTATATCATTTTAGCGCTGTCGGCTTATCAAACATTTTACAAAACACAAGCAGAAAATCATTGGCAAGATACAACATTTTTATATGGATTGGGATTAGTTTATTTCCACTTTAAATCATATCAATGGTAAGTTCGTTTTCCTTTTTTTTGTGGATAGTGTCATCATATTGAAATGTATTTTATTGTAAACATGTAATAATAAAAAATGCATTTAATTTCGCTTGCGAACCGTCAGATGGCGCTGTTAAGTCTATATTTTGGTTTCAAGTTTATGGGAGACCCAAAAACTCCTAATAATTATGCAGCCAACACTGACTAATACACTATTAGAACAAACGCCTTGTTACCAAAAGGTGGGAACACATGAAGATTTTTTTTAGTATCTACCTAATTCCGAAATCAAGGTCCCTTTCGTTATAAACTTAAAAGCGTTTATATTCTATACGTGTCATCGGGATTGTCTCCGCTCGAAAATTATTTAAAAATCTCTTATCGAACAGAAAACGGAAAAGGGGCTTAAAAAACTTACTACCATCCGCGAAGGATACTTCCGATTTCGTTACGTGACTTATAAAGGCATAATGGGTATTGTTTCAGTTACCCCACTGTGAATGACACACTCACGCAATAAAGTCATTAAAATTCTAACCCATATTTTTTTAAGTATATATAGGTTTAAATTCTTGACCGCCACATCTGGGTCAATCTGATAAACGGGGCGCATTATTTTTCGCGTTAGCGTTTTCTGATTATGAAAAAACTGCTGTCTGTCTGTTGAAACACATGATGCTTGATGTGGTGGATACAGTACTTCCGCGAGGAGGGGATGAAAGTGGTTCTATTAGAAAATATTGTTTCATTTCCGTTATGCAGTACGACGATAATGTAAACTAGGTCCTGCTGCTCCTGGGAAAATATACTCGCCCAAAGGTTGATAAAAAAAAATCTGTTTTATTAGTTGATAACGAATATCAAGGAAATGGTGTCCAAGGTAGCCGTTAATCAAGGGAAAACAGAAAAGAGAGGAAAACAAACAAATTTTAACATGTGACCAACCAAGTTAGTCACACGGAATGCAGTTTATTTATTAACGTATAGCATTACGTTGCAGTCGTTGCGTAATACCCAATACAAGTGCAATATGACGTTGTTGCCAAACTTATCAAAATGTATCAATGTCTTCAATCAATAGAAGGGCCCGTTAATGCAACAAGCCCCCGGATGTATTTGCTCCATTTAATGGAGTAGCGGTTGATCGCTACAAAAATGGTTCTACTGTATATACAGCAGTGAAATTCTAAAAAAAGAAAATATTTGCCTTGTATAGTTCCCGTAGGGGACAGAAACAAACGGTTTCATGAAATTGAAATTGAGTACGAAACAAGAAATCGAACGAATGTGAAATTAGAAACATTGGCAAGCCAAGCGCATCTCTAGCTTGTGACGTAATAGATGCACTTATTGCGATTGCCTAGGCTGTTAGACGTGACAACATTGAATCTGTAGAGTTCGGTTTCTAGTACAGTGTAAAATCAAGAATGGACGAGTCTACTACATCGTTCCCCCTTGAGCCACAATATCGAAAGCGTCCGAGTTTGTCCGAACGCTGTCGCTTATCGAGCTTTGCGAAAAGCGACTCAAAGAGAAGGACCGTTTAGGGACAAAGATGCATGCCAGTCCCCCGCACTTCGCCGTATTATATGCCCCTTGAATCAACCGTAGTTTTCGGGCTTGGGGTGATTCCTTTTCAGTCGGAAAGAGGTGTGTGTGTGGATCGGGAGCGGAAGTGCTGAGGAGGCGCGTGAAGCGGACTTTTTATTTGTTTGTTTATTTTCCACATATAGTGTTCACTAGAATTTTAGTGTTAGGAAATACCAACAAGTGCTCTTGTACGTCTCATGGCAGGACTCAAGTGCTTATCTCGAATGTCACGTCAATTTCACTATGTTGTTATATTATAACAATAATATTTACTGCCTCGCAGCAGTTAAGTACATCGCAAACGGTAAGTTCTTAGCTTAATCATCGCTACACCTAATTGCTATTAAAGTAACGTCATCGAGGATACGCGACCTGTCCGTTGACGCGATTAAACGAAAATCTCGAACTGTTTTACAATTGAGGATTCCGCCATATTGCCGATGACATATATCACGTCAACCCTGTTGTTGCTTCCGGAACTTCTGATGTCACAACATTATTAAATACCCAGTGCTCGCAGCACAATCGAATATTGCATCGCTCCGAGTCGTGACGTAATTGTCGAGTTTTTTCACCTACGCGGACACACCTTCTCTATAGTAAAGTAGGTATAGCTGCAAAACTAACATAAAGTCATCGCTTGTTACGTCGTCCAAGGCTAACTTATTTGTTTACTGGAACTTTGCGCTCGTTATCCATAAATCAATTTTTCCTAAAATATCTACGGACGATGCTTGAATTCAATTAGATTTCTAATTTTGCACTAGTTCCCCAAATGAATTAGGGAGGCGGGTCGTCTGCACTGTACCGTTTCTTTGTGCCGTTTTGCAATTATTTCTCGTCGAGTTGAATAACCCCCTATTGAATTTAACTTGCCGATATTCATTAGCGTTAATAACGGAAATACTTGAACTGCCAGTCATTTTCAATTTGTCAATTTTAATCCGCATTTTCGGTATGGGTAGAATATATATTTTTTTAAATTTAATGTCCGAGTTCGTATTTTTTTTTTCGTTGTTTTTCTCCTTTTTTAATGGCAGTCTGCATAAGGAGACGCTACGATAATGTTATACCACCGCTCTGCGATATGCAAGCGTCGAGTCTACAAACGCACTAGGATAACTGTGCAATTTGCGGAAGGTCAAGTAAAAAAATGTAAATGTATTGTGCCGATACCGATGGCGCATATATAGAGGGGCACTGGCCTGAGGTGTGGTTGTGTCCGCCGAATCCAAAACGCAGCAAGAGATGGCATCGGCCCGACTTCGTGTAACCTTGGTTTGCAGTCAATGACCGCCTGGCTACCTGCTGTCCAAACTGCATGCCTAGCTGACGATCTATAAGCATTTTTTCTCAACGAAACACCGCCAATTTAGTTCAAAATCGTTAGCCATATTTTTTTTTGAAAAAGAATTATGCACCCTTTCGATTTCCTACCCAATGTTCATATACCTGGATGACCTACAGCTTGGCAGGTAATACGATATATGAAACGTGAACAATTTAAGATTATTTAGGGAAAAAATTTAGGTACCTAGCTACCTGGTTTTATTGCAGTTTTGTGCCTCAACATTTCACGGGTCCTAGTAGGATATTGACTTTGTATTTGTGTTCGTAGTCAGGCTCAAAATTTGATAAAGTTATTTTGCTGTTAAATGGTTCTACATTTGCGTATTATCCTAAACAATTTGTGTTGCACCTTTATGCACCGCACGAAAGCGTGGGCGAATAACAATTCTAGATGAGAGAACTAGGTTAATTTTAATCATATTTATATGGCGTGCCTTTGGTCGATAACACGGTCGTGCCGTTGAACGCGAAAGAAGTGCAACACAGTAGCGATTTCAACATTTCAGTCTAAAGTATTTTTATCATTGCGTGCTGTAATGTGGTCATTGGCCGGAAACAACGGACTGCATTAGTAGTTGACGGAGTGTAATTATAGGTACGAGCATTCAAAAATACTCGAAACGAGATTGATAAAAACTGCAAACTTTCTAACATGATGATGACAGTTTTTTTTTTTTCATTTGTATATCGGCAATAGGGTTCGAAAAAATCGACAGGTAGTATTAAGCTTTTGTAAGAAAAGAGGATCCTAGCAGATGTTAAAACAGCTGGCCCAATATTACATCTGCTTCCGCACATGCCTCCCGATATTATTGGGACCTGACCACAGAATTACCTACTGTACTTCGTATTACTAGTGTATACAGGGTGTTCCGAAATTAATGCACCAATTTTTTTGGAATATTCAACGTTCTAGTTTCCTATATGAACTTATTTCAGGAAACGCTTCCTTTCCGAGATACTAGATATCTCATTGACACTTTGTACACTGCTTTCAAGCATCAAGTCATTTTTGGATTCGAAATATTAAAAAAAAACATATTTTTGTTAGTGTACAAAAAAGAGGTTTGATGGTTTTAAAAGTTAATTGGCTAAAGCTTATTTCGCAATTTCGTAACACCCTGTATATTATCAAAAAGAAAACGTGCTTCCAAAAGCTCTAAATATCGAAATTGTGCAATGTAATAATCAACTCGATCGACGAATCTTCACACAGTGTTAAGCCGGCGACGCACTGCCGAGCGATAATATAATTTCCGTCATAGCATCGGTCGCAGTGCGTGGTGAGTTTCCGATTTTCTATGCGCATATTACCGATACGTCAGAGTACCGGCAGACTAGAGATTAGAGCTTATCATTTTGCGCTCTTAACTTCGCCACTACATACAAGGTCTAACCGATACAATCAGGTGTTTATTTTGTAAAACAAATTCGAAAAAAAGGACTAACAAAGTAAATATGTCCATTGTCGTTGCGTTACCGCTAAGAAGTGTATAATCGCATTTTTCTTCTACTAGCTTTATGCGAGTGAGTGAAAAAATTCTTTTACTTCCCTGCCGCTGCCCGTTGCTGAGTAAGGCCACGCATCGTTATGAGGAAGAAATTTTATGAATTATATATTAAATGTAAAATATTACTGCTGGCCAAGTACCATGAACCAAGTTATACCCATCCCATACTTATTACATATTTATTTCTATACCAATAATCTAGTTTTATGTGCAAAATGTTTTGAAATTTTCAAAAAGCATGTTTATTATTTTTTATCAAGTATTTCAAAATATGTAAGTGGGAATAATTCGTGTATGAATCTAGAAATAATACAACTAAAATATAAAATTATAAATCTTTTTTTTAAATAATTTTAAAAACCAATTGAATTTCGTACAAGCTCAACAAAAAGGAAGCAGCTTTGAAAAAACGTGGCGTGTACAGAAATTTCTCTTTCTCATCTGACTGTCGTTCGTAATTTTGGGTTCTTTAAGAACACAGCTGACATTGAAAGCCAGTATGCTCCGTCAGACTCGAAAACGAACAATTACCAAAGAAAAATTTTATTACCTGATGTACTTTAC